CGGGAAGGGGCGGCCGCAGGGTGCTCAGCACCCAGCATGGCTTCGTCCCCCCGCCCCCCTGCCTGCGTGGGCCTGGGAGGGGACAGGGTGCCACGCACCCGCCCTGACGTGGCAGGGACCCCCCAGCAGACATCAGAGGGAACCCTGAGCCCTCCCCACCCCTAACAGCCAGGGGGGCAGCTAGGAGAGGAGGGGGGGGCACGGGGGACCCCCCATGTGGCCCCCCCAGCAGACATCAGAGGGAACCCTGAGCCCTCCCCACCCCTAACAGCCAGGGGGGCAGCTAGGAGAGGAGGGGGGGTCACTGGGGACCCCCCATGTGCTCCATCTCGATGCCCTCCACCCCAGCTCAGTGCCACCCATGTGCCCCAGCTTGATCTCATCCCAGCACCCCAGGCCAGTGCCACCCGTGTGCCCCAGTCTGGTGCCACCTACGTGTCCAACTCAGTGCCACCACACCACCCCATCTGGGTGCCCCCGCTTGGTGCCACCCCCAGCTCCTGGCTTGGCACCACCCATGTGCCCCAGCTCGGTGCCACCCCAGTGTCCCAGCCTGGTGCCACTCCCAGCGTGGGCTCAGCCGCTCACCGTGATGGTGGACTTGCCCGCGAACTTCCCGTACTTGAGGAACAGCGGCTTCGTCACCCGCTTCTGCGCCACGATCTGCAAAAGCCGAGGGGTCGGGGAGGGGCCACCGGCGGGCGTCCCCGGGACGAGGGGCGTGGGCTCACCTGCCCCACGGTGCACTCCATGCCCCCCAGGAAGTCATCGTCGTGCGTGCCCACGCCGGTGTGCCCGTGGCTGTCGTACACCTCGAACCGCAGCTTCTGCACCTCCTCGAAGTAGTAGTCCACCGTGAAGATCTTGGCGAAGACGGGGTTGAGGTTGCTCTTGATGACCTCGCTGCGGTCCACCTGCGTGGCAGGAGCTTGGCTGGGGGGGCAGCGGGGCCAGAGCCCAGCTCGGGGCTGCCCAGCCCCTTGGGGGGCCAGAGCTCACCCAGCGCCGGGCACGGGGCTGCA